CCTGATAAACCACTGGGTTGGAGGCTACATGTAATACTACAATCTTTCCATTAGATGGCAATGTGAGAATGTGAGATCTGTAACTTGTTGGTGGCTGTCTATAACAGGCAGTAAATTAAACTTTTGTGAAATCAAATTTTTTGGAGGAGGGGTTAGTTCTTCTAAGACTTGCTCTCAAACTCTTTTACCTTCTATTGCCTAAGGGAATAGTAAAGTTAACTTTCTAACAGATTTCCTGTCCTAAATCATTACCCGTAGTGTCAAAATCAGCAATGTGCATTTAAGAAACCTTTACAAGAAAGGAATCCCTTCTAAATGTGAGAGTTGTGACACTAACAACTTGTGCTGTTAGAAAAGTCCCTCTCTGGGTCTCCGTTATTTTTATTTACACAACGAGTGGATTGGATAAGTTGATCTCTTAAGGGTGCTTCCATTTGGAATGGTCTACATTTAAATTTGGTTTCCTTCTACTACACCCTTGCTGCCTCAGCCAGCATAGAAATGGGAAGAAAAGATCACCCATTTTACGCTTGTTTGATTCTATTCCTCTTCTACAAGTGCTATCTTTGCTTCAACTGTCCCAAAACAATCATGCCCAGATGTCCTGTTTTAATTGGGTTCCTCTTCTCTATGGCTTGTGCACAGGTTTCCCACCCTCCTCTTTTTCCTCCCTCATCCCCAACCAATCTGCCTGAACAGAAGCATGCCCCCCATTTAACTTCACAAATAGATTTTTCTTGTTATTATAGCAGTCATTTTTGTGCTAAACAGATACCAAAGTAGATGGGGCAAGGAGATGATGCCACATGTAATGCTTAAAGGTGACACTTCTAACACCACACACAACATGTCCAGTTAAGAAAACTTTAGATCTGGGAGGTACGAACTTCCTTCTATTTATTTTCCCTCCTCAGCTGGCCAGTATTCATTGCCAGAACCATTTCAAAGCTTTAGGAAAGAAACAATATTCTGAAAAGAGGACAATTAATCTAATTGGAGGTTAGTGGTACTGTGCAGACAACCCATTATTAAAATCCCCCATGGCCAATAGTGTCTCCATTCCTGACGCTCTGGGCAATGTTTAGATGAGGAAAATTATGACTGTGATGGCTCATCCACATGCAAAGCCTATGACGAACCATGTGTACCAGTGGCACAGAAGGAGCGAGTGGAAAATAAATACTGAATTAATACAAAGCTATGGAGACACCGCGAACTGAATCCCTCTTGGCTTGGAGCTCAAAGTATACATGTTATGTAAAATTCCCTAAGAACACATCACATATGTCACATTGTTATAGCCAAAGTGACAAAAACGTCAATCACAACTGTCTCCTGCATTCATTTTCCTTTTTTCCTTAGAGATTTCAAATCACCTTTGGTGTTTGTCCAGTGGTGTGGTGGTGGTGGGTTATTTATTTCTCTAACTTCAACACCTTATCTCCCAAGAATGTAAATATTTCACTGAATAGCAATACTGTGGACCTCTGTTTGGGAGAAGAAACCCCATACACAGGGCTCTCCCCAAGGGCTTTTAAAAGGCAAGCCTAGGAATCTGCTGAGTCGGTAAAGAGAGACATTGCTGTAGGCACTGTTGTGAGCCTTGTAGGACAACACTAGTAGCTTGCAAATTGTCATATACATTGAAGCAGTGTGGTTAGGAAATGTCAAATATTTATTCAGTATGGGTTATTTCTAAGGAAGCAACAGTAGAATAATGATTAAGAACAGAGGCAGCTGGAGATAGACTCACAAAGTTCAAACTCCAGCTTTGCTATTGACTAGCTGTGTGATCTTGGGAAAGTGACTTCACTTCTCTGTACCTCAGTTTCCTCATCTGCAAAAAAAGGCTGGTAATAATAGTTTCTATCTTATAGGGCTGTTAGGAGGATTAAATGAAGCATTGTAGGCTTTCTTTTTCCTGTAACAGTAACTGGTGCTGAGAAAGCACTCAATGCTGACAGCTATTATTATGAGTACCACAATGTGCTCTAGGTAGTACAAAAGGGAATTAACCAAGCCTCAGCCTCCAAAGACATCAGAGACTATATGGGATGGCACATGGAATGTACATAAAAGGAGCGTGAACAACTCAGGACTGTCTCTACTGTACATTTAGATGCAATGGCAGCAGGTCAGGATGCATCAGAGTGGCTCAGTGAGGTCCTCAATTCTCATTAGGAGAGAACTTCAGGCATCTACAGGGAAGGAGAGTGAGAACCTGAATAAGTTAGCAACTACCAGCATCAGTAGTATCAATACTTTTGGATACTGCTTTGTACAGCAGATAAAATAAAAGCAAGTTGTAGGTCTTAGCCACAGGACAGCTCTTCCCAACACTTTTGTAACCAGAAACCATGCCTAATTTACTAGAGTCCTTTGAGGATTTAAATAGCACACTGATGGAGCAGAATAGTGTATGCTATTTCAACTTTTAAAAAGTTTGGCAAGCTTTAAAACCCAAAGCTGTTTTTGGAAAATTAAGTTACCATGGAATTGGGGACCAGTATTTAGTCCTGGTTGCTTATAGATAGCTTGGAGATAAGAAACAAAATATAGAGCAAAAAGGACACTTTTATGAATGGCAGAAAATAATATAGTGAAGGTGCAAGAAATCATCTGGGGAATAATTTGATTTAATACTTATAAATGAGCTGCAAGAAGGAGTGTAGTGTAAAATCCCTAAGTTAGCAGATGTCTTTGCACTATTCCAATGAAGATAATAAACTTCAGGAAAATGTTTGTTTTGTAGGAGTGGGCATAAAAGTGGCCAGCAAGCTTTGATATAAACATATCCAAGGAAATGTCTCTAGAGACATTTATTTCAGAAGATTTATATGAACCTTACCTTTTTAATCTATGAATATGGTCTCTGATTCAGGCACAAGTAGGTATAAATAAAGAGAAGATGGAGTTGGTGGTGTCTTACAAGGGAGATGATATTTAAACAGAGAGGGATATATATATATATATATATATATATATATATATATATATATATATATATATATATATCCAGCGACCGAATGGTAGAATGACCAGAACAACTGGAACAATGGTTGCTATGCTGTACAAAGCCAACCCCCCTGATCTCCTAAACTCCTGAGGCCCCTCCACCTGGCCAGCCTGACCTCAATCAGCCCCACATCCTTCTACCCTGCTCTGAGGTATCCAAGAGCTGCCCTGAGGCCTGGAGCCCCAGGGGGTTAAGGCACAGGTTCATGGATGTACTCCTCCAGATCTTGAGAGCACCAAATTACAAAGGATGCTGCCACAAAGGAGGCCCAGCTGGGAAGTGGGAGAAACGTACAGCAAAGAGGGCAAAAACTGAGGAAAAGCCTGCCTGGAAGAACCCGCACTAGGGGCAGCCATGTCCCCCATCCCCAACTCCATTCCAGCCCTGCAGGCTACCTGACAAATGCTACCTTGCAGCTAGTGCAGAGAGTATGCCCCGGGCAAACAAGGAGTGTGCACTGCGACCCCTACATGCCACCACTGTCTCTACTGTACACTAATTTGTGCATGCTGCCATGCAACTGCCCACCCCACTGCAGCCACAGTGCTCAGCCACTAAAGCCTCCTCCTGAGCTGTGCCCCTGGCCAGCCTCAGGCACTCCATTCTCCCCCCACCTTGCCTCTGCCTGTTTACAGTGATTGGGATGGACAGGACAGGCTGGCCCAGCAAGTGAGCATACTCCCTCCTCCAGCTATAGCCAGCTTCCCGGGTCTGCGCTGATGGTAAATGCCTGGTGCTCTCACATGGGATACGCCATGAGGCATAGTCCTCAGAAACCCAGAGCCCAGTCTACAGCAGGGCCCTTTGTGGAGGAAGCACACTACAACTCCCAGGAAGCACCGCACCTCCTGCGGCCCTGAAGCTCACTGAGGAGACTGAGGGAACACACGAAAGAATGTGCCACGCTGGTGCTCTGGGGGTACCTGCGCAGTTCATGGTCTTGTGGGGCCGGGGGGAGGCCATACACCAACCACCTGTGGCCCCTCACCTTGCTAGTTGGCCCTATGACCCCTATTGGGGCAGGCCAGTGGACTCCATCCATGCACGAATTTGTGCACTGGGCCTCTAGTATGAATGTAAAAGAGGAAACTAGTAGTAAGCTGATAAAGAATGTTTCTTTACAGACCCCAAAGGCAGTTGATATTTAATGGTTGGTGATTTGTGTATTCATAACTTTTAAAGTTAAATAAGATGAATATATTAGGCTACCATTTTAGAAGAAATGCAATCAGATGTTCTCTTCACCTTTGCTACAAAATACATTCCTTTTCAGTGGATGACCTTTTTTGTTTATTTTTTTATTGTTGATATTATTACAGACATCCTCTACTTCCCCCTCCACTCAGCCCTCGCCTCACCCCAGGCCTTCACCACACTATTGTCTATGTCCATGGGCTCTGCATATAAGTATAACCTGACTACACTATTTTAATTGAAAAAAAAATACATAGGGGAAATTTATGCTGCAAATGGCTTGGGAAAGCCTCCTGAAAATAAACCCAGCTCCAAGGCGTATGGGAAATTGTGGGAGGAGCAATTGGAAAAGAAAGGAGAAGTAAAGAACATGCAAGAGTCTTTCTCCTTCAAATGAGTAGAAAGCACACTCAGAGTTAAGGTCTTTCCTGTGTGTTTCCCTGGCCAAGACCCAGGACCTCCTGTAGCATTGCCATTGGCCCTTACTCTTCTGGACTATACACTAGACTGAGAGCATAATAAAGACTTTATCAGTTTTGGTTATCGTTGTACTTCCAACACTTAGAAATAAGGATGTTGAATGAATGTTTGTTGACTGTTAAATGAGTGTTCTTATTGTAAAGAGATTCTATCTACAGTGGTTTATTTTTGTTCCATGGGATCATTCCATGGTTTAAAAGTCTGAAGAGAGCTTGCGGTCAGTTTGACCATTGGTGCCAAATATAAGTCAGCTTTCACTTTGCTTCAGACTCTCTTGTGACAAACTTTCTCGTTACCTTCACCTTTGCAGATACAGCCAGAAGGCGGCGAGGAATGGAATGAAGAATCAGTTCAACCTCCATGAGCTGAAGATGAAGGGCCCTGAACCAGTGGTTTCCCAAATTATTGACAAGCTGAAGCACATTAACCAGGTATGTGGAACTATATCCAACAAGAATGAAAATGTCAAAGAAGTAAGGGATGGATGATGTTCACTGCGCAAACTGAGTTCTTGGGATTTTGGAGAGGTAGCCATTGTTTATTCTTTTTCAAGGATTCCCTTTGCTAAAAAGAATTTTTGACCCTCGTTTTTCACCCCATTTTTAAATCATAAAGATTATATTGTAATATTAGAGAAAACTTGGAAAATAGATGAAAAAGTATTTCTCACAGTGTCATTACTGTATCCCAACTTCTTCATTTTCATATCTTCTTTTCTAATATTCAGAAACATCACACTCAGACTTTTTATATAATTAGAAGTATACAAATGATTTAGCATTCTTAAAATTAACACTATATTGGAAACACTTTTTCATGTTGCCACAAATCCTCATATTAATCATTTTTGTGCCCATAATATTCTTTTAAGTATTCATCATAATTAATCAGCTTGCTTTTGCTGCACATTCAGATTACTTCAAATATTTTACCATTATAAATAAAGCTACATCTTCATACATAATGCTTTCTCCTGATATTAGATCATTTTCTTAAAATACTGGAGTTATTGACTTAAAGGATATGAGCACTTTTATTCATGTTTCTAAATTGCTTTCCAATGGGGATGTATCAGCTCTCACTGCCACCAGTAAGATGCAAGAGGACCAGCTTTACTATGCCTGTAACGACGTTTGATTCACTGCCTGCACAGAGACACCCACAGATTTGCTTGACCTATACAGAGTTTTTCCTCTCATAAGAAGTTTAGTAGCTAAGACACAAATAGAAGTTAGTTGTACCATCTGCTTGTGATTGCTTTGTGGCCACAATAAAAAAAAAAATGCCAGCATATATCAGAGTGACAGCGTTTTTGCCCCATGATTCATGGTTGGGAGAACCCTGGCACCACTGACTTCTATTTGTAGCCTAAGAAGAAACTTAATGAAACTAAAATCCTTATGCAAGGATAGTGGTTTCTGAATGAAAACATTGGCCTGATTTTGTTTTTTAATATGAAGTTTAGCAGTGAAATTTCTGCGGTTAGAAAATGTTTAGAAAGGCTTTCTAAATAGCGGAATATTTTATTGCAAATGGACATTGTGAAATTATTTACAACACACTTGGGTGTGACTCCTCCAGCGCCTAATAAAGAGCTCTGCACTCAGTGAGCACATAATAAATAGTTGTTACTGCTGTTGAGCACATGATAATGGCAGTATTTGCATAACCATTTTTTCTATGAGCTCACAACCTCACTAAGTTCTATAAAGCCTGGTTAAATACAGTATGATTATTTAAAAATGCATCTTTGAAGGGTTCAAAGCACAATTTAAACCACTAATGGCTGAACTGAGGGCATGGTACCTTTTCACCTGGGGACAATGGCAGTATTTGTCCTCTGAATTATTTCCAAATTACCTCAGACCAATTTTATCTGGGTAGCTCCACTCAATTTGTTAGATCCCAGCATTGGTGAGGCCAAAATCTGAGGATCCATCACTGTTCCCATAATCCTAATTGAAGAATACTGTCAACAGAGATGTGTGATGAACCAAACTTAAAGAATACCCACTATGTGTTCAGCCAGGTTCTTGGGAGTTTAAGGGTTCTGCAGGAGTCTAAAACTGTTTTCACTGTTTTCTTCAGAGGGGAAGCACAGCATAGAAAGTGCTTACATAAAAATAAACAAATATAAATAAAAATGATGAAGAGCCAGAAGAATAGTGCTGCTTTTTAATTTTGGGCAGTTTGCTTAGTGCTAAGCTGGGCCAGGTTAGTGTAAGGACTCCAGATAGATGCAGGTGTTAAGATCTGCCATTAACAATGAGTAGGTAAAGACAAGCAGAGGAGTGGCAGTCATAAGAAAGATTAGACAAGCACGTGTGGATGGACACACCCCCCCACACACACACCAGGGAAAAAGAGGAAGCTGCATCAGATATGGCTTTCTGTATGATACAATGTTCACTAAAATATTTATAGTGAGTCCCTTTTGAAAACACTTAGTTAGAAGTTTGATATCAATACTATGGGAGAGCATGTGATATAGTAGAAAGAACATGCACTTTGGATTGATAGACCTGAATTCAGTTGTGGCTCTTACAAGGTATATAAACTTGCACAAATCACAAATTTCTCTGAGCTTTAGTTTCCTCATTTGTAGTATTTAGAGATACCTTAACAAGATTACTGTAAGAATTAGAAAAAATATATATGATTATATAATTAAATACATAATATTTTGTTACACATATTTTTAATATATAACATGTATTGACATGATAAGTGGCAGCTACGATGATTATATTCAGGACTAGAGGCCCAGTGCATGAAATTCCTGCACTTGAGAAGGGGGGTTCCCTCAGCGCAGCCTACATCCTTTTGCAATCCAGGATATTTTGGACATCCCTCTCGAAATCCAGGACTACTGGCTCCTAACTATTCTGCCTGCCTGCCTGATTGCCCCTTACTGCTTTCCTAATTTTGCCCCTAAAACTCAAGCTTCTTTTAAAAACTTTTTTATTTATATTTATATTTCTTTTTTATTTTAAAACTCAAGCTTCTTGAGCACATGAGTCATTTAACATTATTTCAAATTCCTTACAGAGAGCTAAGCATGGTAAACACAGCAAATACTTAATACTTGTGGGCTTCTGTACAAACATTTTCCAACCAGGAATGTTTTAATAGATAGTCTCCAAAATTTTGAACTGGAAAACCTAAAAGTAGAGTGCTCAGATTTCAGGCATCAGGTGGTATTACCAGGATTTCTATCCCAATTAATTCTGAGCTCTCAACAGTATGGACAAACTGCCCTTCACTATCTCCGAAGTTTCTTATTCATCACTATCCCATTTTCCTCTGCTTCAAACCAAGGTAACAAATGAAACCTTTAATTCTGATCTTCCTCATTGCAAGGGAACAGTAAACCTCAGTCGAAATAATTTCCCACCAGGAGTCACATCCAAATACTGCAAAACTGAGGACCATAAGGCTGACTATGTACATGCGCAATAACAGGCTCATGTTCAAGCTGTAGGCACCCAGGCATCCTCCACAATCCCATAATCCTCTGGTTGCATACTTTGGTTTTTCTAGATCCTCCTTAGTGTTTCCTTCAGTTGCATTGCAATATCCAGGGCCTCTAGTTGGAGAGAATTTTTCTGTTCTTTGACATTTATAGTTGTTTACTATTTGGAATCAGTGAAGTTTTGAAAGTACTGCCACTGCCGTGAACATGTAGGTCCCAAACACAGTCATGAAACAATCGCCCATTCAGTCCACTGCTGGTGCTGTCCTGGTTCACAATGAAAAAGGTACTGTGCTGAGCCAATTTCCAATCAGATCTCCCTCTTCCTTCCCCAGAATACTTCAAACCTACTCCAGACTGACCACCCCAATCCTGCAGACCCTGAAGACTTTCCCCCTATTTCTTCAACTTTCACCCATCAATCTCACATCCTATTGTGTTGCCTAGAGGCACCCCTAACAACTCCTTTGGGGGCAGGGCCAGCCTGGGCGAGGGGCTGTAGTGTTCTGGTCTCTGATCATTCTGGTTGTTACATCATTTTGGTCGCTGGCTTTTTATATATATAGAGAGAGATTTTTCTCTATAGGCTGAACCTGAGTTTGAAAGGGAGCAAAATTCTAGTATTGTTACCAGCCTAATTTTGCTGCCCCAATTTGGTATGATTGCAGATCTCTTTGATCCACCTATTGTTTTCTCCTTTTTATTGTTTCCTTATATCCCTTTCCTCTAATTTCCAGCCACAAAAACTTCTCAACTTTAGGTAGGGACAATATATTATCATAGTAGGAAAGGTCACAATTTACAATTCCTTTCTCTTACCTCCATCCGTGAATAGTATGTGAATACTTTTTCCCTTATAAAAGCCATTAAGCAACAATTGTTTCACATCCATAGACTGGTTTTACCTGTTTCAGTTGAGCTGTTAAAATTGGTTGGCTCCAAACACGTACATTGATTTTTTTCCCCCTCATCTTTGTTGCTTTCCATGGCTTTATTCAGGTCTTCAATAAAATTTCTATTTTTGATCATAAACAAGAATGTTATGATGATGATGGTGATGATGATAATGATAATATGTTTATATTTGTGTAGCATTTGACTATATTTCGAAGGAATTTTATGTCCTAAAAGACTAACTACTTATGTTGGGGGAAATTGCCAACCTGGAATCGTATAACATACAGCACTTTCACAGAATCATTCTTTTCAAGAACTCACTGTTACCATTGGGCATTATGTTATCCTCACTGCCCCCTGGGAGTTTGATAATAAATAATGTTTTTTTTATAGCTAGGTAAACTGAGGCAGAAAGCTGTTAAGAGTTATGTGGGCATACTGCCAAACCATCCAGTGAGTTCAGTTGAAAATTTGATCAATAATCCAGATGTTGTTTCCTATACACTGCCAAACATCTGGATTCACTGAATGCCTGAATAAATTGACCTAAAGTTTTAGTGATGGGAAGGTAGAATCAAGTTAACTTGTCCAAGTTCACATGTAAGTGAGTGGTGAATCCAGGAATTTAATGTTCTTTTTCTAAGCCCCTTGTTTAGTATTAAACTACAGTAGGATGCTCCAACATACATATCTGTAAATACAGAGGCATTCTCATGTATTCTCATGTTTGTCCATCAAAATGGACTGTAGTTAGGCTATTTATAAGCACATCTCAAAATAACTCTTCACTTTTTTCCATGGAAATTCTCAGCTGCCTCCTTTCAGGTTATAATTGCTGTTGATAGCACTGGAAATAATATACTCACTAAGGGAATAAAGTAACATTATTTCCATATTGACGGTCCCATGGTGTAATCTTGAGGATATAGGTTCAGGGTCAGGCCCAGAGCCCCTTTCCTGAGAAAGCCTGCAGGTGTGGAATGTCTTCCCTTCCTTCCAAGCCAGAGTTCATCTGTAGCATTCCCACGACTGGAAATGAGGATCTTTTTATTTCCTTTTCAG